TATATATATATATATATATTTCATGTCACTGTTGTTCTGACTCTCCTCCTCACCTCTCATTTCAGTGACAAATGTAACAGAACCAGACTTCAAGTCCAAGGACTGGGTTTTCCTTAACTACACCTACAAACGCTTTGAGGGATTGACACAGCGTGGCACCATCCCCACTTACATGAAGGCGGGCAAGGCGTGAAACTGGCACTGATGGTCTGGAAGAGAAGGATTAGAATGTAAATGACAATTCAAATGCAGATGAAAAGCTTATGCACTGCCGCTTTGAGCTACACAGTAGACCTGTTCTCAGAGGAGTCCCTGGTGACGATAAAAAAGGAAAATGGAAAAAAAGCATAATTATATGGCCAAACATATGGAAAGACTCTCTTGTCCTGCTGCTTAGCTAAAAGGAGACACAAATGTTGTCCAAATGCTCTTCAACACTGGATCAAACAGGGTCACAGATTTAAAAAAAAAAAAGGAAGCAGATACATCACTGAAGCCTTACGTTCAGAAAACAGAGGATGTTTTAACCTCGAACCTCTTAGGTGACTACACTGCAATAAAGTTAATCTCTCTGTCATTTTTAAGCTTCTTTCCCCAGGAAGTTGAGAATCTGTATTAACCCAAATGAAACCTGTACAATGTTAGACACACTCTATGATATAGTTAACTATCTGATGCTGAATATTTCCCACAAGTGTATTTTGTGTTTTTGTGCAGTTGTTTTAATGTATGATTGCAACCTACCTAGAAATAACTTGAAGAGGAGCAGTTTTGTTTTTTTTGTTTGTCAGAGCTAGTGAGCAGCCAGCCCTCCTCTACCCGTCCCTCTGCATTTCATCCATACAGTGATGTAGTTGATTCATTTTTGTTTGATTGTGAGCGTTGTTGACCTATGCAACCATTTTTATAGTTGGTGTAACACATGCAAGATGTAGCTTCAGTCAGTGGTTTTAAAGGGAAGCTAAATAATTCTAAAAACTTGCCCTCCTTTATGTAATCGAGTTTTAGAAATATACAGGGTTTAAAATGATGAAAATAATCAGGTGAATCGCAAGAACATTTTAGCATACTATCAGCAAAATTAACTTAAGATGATCAAAGCTTTAACCAAATAACTACATAATGGAGAACACAAGTTGGTAAGTGAACTTTGTGTATGGCTGTTAAAAGTTTTGGCGTTATTGTATATGGAGTATGAGAGACATCACAGCCAGTAACGTTAATTATTTCTTACAAGCTGTCTTGGTTGTTGAGGATATTTAGTGAATGGACACCTGCTGTTGTTGTGCATGACTACAAGTTCTGGCCAGATAGAAACACTGAAAAGAGTAAATGCTGTAGCTAATGTGTAAAAGATTGGTGCTGGGGGGTTTTACTTAATATATTCACTTTTGTTGCTTTGTTAAATGTTTACTTGGTGTAAAAATGTAAAAGCAAGAAATAAATGTTAAACATATGGACCGTTTTCACAGCTGCAATTGGCTTGAGTATGGACCCAATTTATACAAATCAATTTGAAGTCAAGCACCCTCTCTAGTGGTGGTTTCTATAACTACAATTTAACAATAAAGTACTGATCAGCACATTCAATTTAGGAGTTTGAGAAAACGGACTTTCTCACTAATTTACTCAATGCCACTTTTAAAACAAAAACGTCAGGCTCTTTGAAATTTAACCAAGTGATTAATCTTAATATATGTTAGATTTAATATCGATCGATATTTTTCTAAATGATGACTATACAATTTCAATTATAATATATATTAAATGCAATTTAAAAATGATATAAACAATTCCTCATACATTTACACTTCATTCTGTAGACCAAAAGAGTGTGGTTCTGATTGGCTCAGCTGTGTTTTGGCTCCGCCTTCGTGCTCATATGGCAGATCTTTTGTAAACACCGCAAGTGATGTCGGGATCGGCCGATTGACGGACTTTCGTTTCATTTCGAGTCGAATGTTTTTTTTAGGTCACGGGGTCAGTCACTAACGTTAGATCATTTCCGACTCCCGATGTTCGATGCAGATCGACCGATTCGTTTTAAAGAACCGGTTCAAACGAACGATTCGTTCTAGTAGTAACGTTGGGTTTCTAATGGTGCTTAGCGTACTATGTTCAGCACGTCGATAAACTGGAGCGACTCGTAAGATTTAATATGCAATATCTCCAAATCTAGTGTGTTAAGCTAGAAAGTTTAGGCCATTAAATGACTCTGCTGAGGCGTGAAATCAGGTCATTTCCTCAATCTCAGGTCTAGTGGACTTGTTTTCTGCTAAATCTGTGCAGGACAATTAACACACATGTTGAGATTAAACCCCATTTTTGATACTCAAAAAGATGTTGTATCAAGCATTTTGGCAAAGGAGGAAAGAGCGAATATAGGTAAGCGGACTTAATGCACTTGCTATATATATATATTTATTATAATTACAGTAGTAGTAGTAGAAGTAGTTTTAATAGTAAACATCACTACTACTATTATTATTATTATTGGTGGTGGTGTTAATACGTCGCTCAGGGCTTTTATTGTTTTGCATTTATTGTTTATATAAATGTATACACATTCACACAAGTTAATGTACTTGTTTAAAATGTGTGCAGGTGTTCTTGAGCCTCGCATTCTGAGCGTGGAGAGCGATGGAGGGGTCGTGTACTCATGGAGAGTACGTTTGGCTTTAGTTTCATGTGTCACTTTAATTTGACCTCTCATGCGCGCGACGCTCCATTCATAGCAGAGCAAATCTGTCGCCAGTCTATAGCAAACGAGCACTACGTGCCATGCATACAATCAGTGTTGGGGAAAGTTACTTTTAAAAGTAATGCATTACAATATTGCGTTACTCCATAAAAAAGTAACTAATTACGGTACTTAGTTACTTTTTATGAAAAGTAATGGGTTGCGTTACTTTTGCGTTACTTTTTAAATTTGGACAGGGCTTGCTTGTTTGTTTTTAAAATAAAAAAGTTATATTTTTGGCAAATGTAAAAGCCTTTTCACACCAAAAGTGAAATGAATAAGCCTCAGGCTGAAGGGAAAGTAAATGTACGTCCGTACAGTAGAATGCAGAAGAAGAAATTTCAACACACTTCAGCAATAAAAAAAGACACACAAATGTTTGTCTAGAGTAATTTGTGCTTATTAGTATGGTTGAATTGGATCATCGAAGGTCAGAAGCAAAGACATTGGTTAATAGAATGGGATTAAATACATAAAGGATATTTGTGTTGTTTAACATTTAATTATTGCAGGTTTGTGTCATATTCTGAGTTGCATTATTTTTATTCATTTTGAGGAATACTGAATCTGTGGGGTTTTTTTTGTGAGTGAGATTAATTAATGCATATTCATATTTATTTTGGAACTACAGTGACATCTTCTGATTTCTCTCAACATGGGGACAGGATAGCTGTCAATCAATAAATTGGAAAAAAATTATTATTTGAAAAGGTAACTCAGATATTCTCTTGTAAATGAAAAAGTAATGCGTTACTTTACTAGTTACTTAGTTAAAAAAGTAATCCGATTATGTAACTCGCGTTACTTGTAATGCGTTACCCCCAACACTGCATACAATAGACACTAGTAAATGGTTTACATGCAAACTGAATGGATGTCACTATGTTCACTTCCTGTTCTCCTTTTTGCTCTTTATGTTATTATTATTTATTTTTTTTACTTACTGATTTCCCAATCCTTATAAATGTTTAGGGAGCAACAGGAACTACAAGAATTGGGAAGTACGATCCTCACAGTACAGAGAATAAGGTACAGAATGGGTAACCATGTTGGAGATGAACATTGGGCCTGTGGATATGTAATTCCAGTCATATACGCATTATTATAAACTGAATATAAATTTACAGTAAAAAATGACAACTTGGATCGGTGTATTAAAATAAGTGAGAATTATGCATCACTTCCAGTCTTAATGGAAGTTAAAGGGATAGTTCACCCAAAAATGAAAATTTGATGTTTCTCTGCTTACCCCCAGGGCATCCAAGATGCAGGTGACTTTGTTTCTTCAGTAGAACACAAACGGAGATTTTTAACTCCAGCCATTGCAGTCTATCAGTCGTATAATGCATGGCAATGGTAACAAAATCTATGAGAGTAAAAAAAACATGCACAGACAAATCCAAATTAAACCCTGCGGCTCGTGACAACAAATTGATGTCCCAACACACGAAACGATCGGTTTGTGCGAGAAACCGAACAGTATTTATATTATTTTACCTCTAATACACCACTGTGTCCAACTGCTTTGAGCGCGCGCACGGCATCCGGTGAGTGAGGTGTGTACGCGCTCTGGTGTAGTTTACGTTAATGGGTGTGTTGATATCCAGCCGAAGAGCACATTGCCATGCATTATACGACTGTTGGACTCCAACGGCTGGAGTTAAAAATCTCCGTTTGTGTTCTACTGAAGAAACAAAGTCACCTACATCTTGGATGCCCTGGGGGTAAGCAGATAAACATCAAATTTTCATTTTTGGGTGAACTATCCCTTTAAGTCACATGCCTCTTGTGTTCACAGCTCCTCTTCACTTTTGACAAGCAAGTGTGTGTCAGCAGCTGCTCTTTAAATAAAGAAGAAACACTCCTAGGTGAGACTGCAGGCCAATATAGTTTTTTTTTTTAGCATGAAGGCATTATTGTATTGCTAGTGTTTAATTCAGTTCATTATGATCACCTTTTGGGTTTGAGAAGGTGATTACTAATGTGAGCTTTTTCTGTGCTAGCGGTCAGTCTGTCTCAGTCCACACAGGGAGGAGGCCGCTTTAAACCAGGTACAGGACATATTTAAGATGATAAAAAGTCTTAAATATATTAAATGATATATAAAAATCTTATTATTTTAATAAGTATTACATTTTGGGATGGAAAACAGGAATCATGATACAACCAGTGATTATTAAACTTCAAAAGGCTATGATTATATTAAATTAGTATGTATAGTGCAGCTAACTGTAACTGTAAACAAGGTTATATATACTGTATACACACACACAGTTTACATAGTTTAAAGTAGGCCTATGAATAATTACATTACTATTAAATAGTTTAAGCAGAAATAATTATAAGCCTAGATTACTTTTTGCATTGTAATAAATTCATTTTGCTTATAAATGCTTCATTGTATCCCTTTATTGAGAAAAACACATTATTTGATGAATTTTAATTGTACCACTTAAGTTTTTTTTAATGCACTCCTAAATTTAAATTCAAGCCCTCTTTTGGGCCTTTTATTCATTTAATAATAATAATAATAATAATAATAATCAGTTTTGTGAGACACTGAGAAATGTTACTGTATTGATTCAAATGGACAATTGAATACATTTGACTGAACTCCACTATATCAATTGTTGTAATTTTCAGTTTTAAGTTACAGTTTAACATAGTTTTATTCACCTTTATGGCATGATTGTCACAAGTTCCTGTTTCTGAAATATTTTTATGGTTAGACCATTTGAGGAGGAAGAAGCTTTTTTGCAGTTTTATACCAATATGCTTTCACTTCTCTTATGGGGTGAAATAAATAATAAAATAACAATTTTGTGTCTTAAAGAAACCCCTAATTCTTTCACCAAATACATGTACAAAAAGTTTAACTGTAGGCCTAACGATTGTTTGATTTAGACAAGTTTGACAAGAGGCATACAATTTATACTATTTTGCTCACATCATAATACAATTGGAAATAAAAGTGCATTCACAAAACAGAGAATCTAAATGTATATAAATGAGCTTAGCAGAGGTTTGCAGTCACGCTGTCCAGGTTATTCTTTAACCCCTTGACATAATTCTGTTTTCTTTCTGCTTTAGTGTCAAAATGTTTAACTCTTCTCATTGAGATACACCCAATCAACAACACAAAGGTCCTGAAGGCAGTGGACTGCAAAGTCAAAGTGCAGGTAGTAATCGGCAGTTATGTGAAGCTGGGGATGAAAAACACATTGAAATCACTTCGAAATTTTCTTTTATTTCCCATGACCCCCTTTCTAGTTTCTTCATCCTAAGACATGTCGGACCACCGTACTGGAGAGTCATTTGCTGTTGGCGGCAGAGGATGGCTGTATGTTTTGTGGAAATGTTTCAGAAGCCATCAATATGCTTTTTTGCATTGCACTATACCATATTTTGTTCAAGCTACTACTATTTTGAACATATTTATTGTAATTTATCATGAATGGTTATATTGTTTCTAACAGATGTTGATCAGTACCACATTACTCTGATGAGGCAGGAGGGCTACAGAGTGGTAAGGGCTGCTCTTGATATTTTTTATGATATAAGGATTTATATCAATCTAATGATGCTCATACGAATGGTAAAACACATGTGCTTGTTCAAACAGGTGATGCAGAATCCTGAGCGTCCGAGCAGAGAGAGAGTTGCAGAGGACTTCAGTTGGGTCCAATGGGACTCGGATACTCAAAGAATCTTCTACCTCTCTGCACGGGTCAGAATCTCTTTCAATTGACTTTCACTGTTGACTTTCTACATCCAAGAAATCTAAAATCTTTTAGATTTCTTGGATGTAGCCATTTGATAATAAAGGCTTTTTAACTCACAAGAGTGCCATTTTTTGATTGACTTTCACTGTTGTTTGACCTTATTTTTTTTCTTCTCTGAGTTTTGAAGATGTACATATTTCCAGTATGGTTCTTTTTTTCCATCTTATAGGAGAAACACACACTGAAGTGTGTGCAGTTTTACCCCGATCACAACTTTGAGACTGTGGTAAACATCTTTGTGTCACATCTAAACTGCCTTATTTTAATAATATTTAGAGGAACTGATTAATTCAAAACAAATGCTTTTATGTGCAACAGTTTGAGCTTCCACTGGAGATGTCCAATGTTTGTATTTTCTCCACTTTTTCGCATGTTTTGACTTAATCACAATCAACATGCTTCACATGTTGATAGTTTAAAAGCTGGCTTATAATCGCAAAAGCAGTTCCTGAAATCATCTATTGCCGAATGTATGCTGTAAATCGCCTACATGATTTCTGCTGATCTGCATTTCAGCTATTTTGGCTTTGATTTTGTGTTTGTATGTAATTAATTTGATTTGAACTGATGTAAGTTGCTGTTCTGAATCTCTGGATGTCATGAACAGGAACCATGTGTGTGTGCTACAGCCATCCAGTTCACTGGCATAAGGACGCCACCTACACTATTGCATTTGTGCACAGAGGTACAAAACATCATGCAGCAGTGATATAAACATTTTCACAAAGATCATTATATAGAGGATTAAATCGACTCTCTCTGATAGGTTGCAGTAAGACGTTCACTGTGTCTCTAGAGAAAGGCTCTGCACCTGCTAATTTGCCAACCGTCCATCCTATCTTCATTCATCTGGGTTAGGACAGCCAACATCTCTCACTCAGCCCACAGAAATCCATCCAACCCTGTCTTTAATTCTCTCTCATACAGTACATGGAAAGTCATTCATCTGAAATAGTGTCATAGGTTATCTTCTCAGTTGATGTTTTATTCATTTCAGATTATTATATTGTGGTGTACCTGGCTGATAATTTCCTTCACCTCATCAACTGCAGACAACAAGACCTGCTCTGCTACAGTCTTTTCCTGTCAGGTACAGCCTAATATATATATATTTTTTTTTTTGTCTTTATCTTCAGAAGTTTGGGTGAGTTTTTCCTGGGTTTTTTGTTTCATTTCATTTGAACTACTGCAATATATTTGATATTTATTATTGTCTGATATTTTTATTATTTTGTGTTATGAATGTTAGACTTTGCATATATTTTAACTAGTGCTGTCAAATGATTAATCGCGATTAATCGCATCCAAAATAAAAGTTTTTGTTTACAAAATATATGTGTGTGTACTGTGTATATTTATTATGTATATATAAATACACACACGTACAGTATATATTTGGAAAATATTTACATGTATATTTATATTTATATTACAGATAATTAATATATAAACATAACATATGTTTCTTAAATATATACATGTATGTGTGTGTATTTATATAGACATAATAAATATACACCGTACACACACGTTATGTGAACAAAAACTTTTATTTTGGATGCGATTAATCACAATTAATCATTTGACAGCACTAATTTTAACATATATTTAGGATGATTTTAACTGTAATTTGAAATGTTCTTTAAACAACCACTTAAACGAATTCTGCAGTGCTGATCGTTTGTGTATTTCTGTGTTTTCTGTGTGTATTACCTTACTCTGTGCCTTCTCCCAGGGGCAGATGGTCACATTGAAGCCCTGGGTTCAGGCAGAGAAGTTGTGAGTGTGTCTGGCAGCAGGCTGCTTGATGTCCGTGCCGGCAGGATGTACACCATGGAGCTCAATCCGGACTTCCTGCTTGAGCTTCTCAGTTCAGACAGGCCAGAGGCCCAGCGGCTTGCTGCTCTGCACTGCATGCTGGTCTACCTTCAGCCAAATCCTGTGATAGAGCTCAAGGTGAGCAAGAGAGAGAGAGATTAGTTTTGTGTGCTGAAAATTCACTCTAATGTGTGATTCTCATTTCTCTCTGGTTCCAGATTATAAACTGGATCAGTGAGAATGTCATGAGCTTTGATGCTTTTGATCAGATTCAGGAATTTATTCTAGGTGCGTGCTTCTATTCATGCGACCTATGTCAGTTTTGCATGCAAAATGAGTATTAAAAAAAGTGTACAACTCTCATTTCAGCGACCCTGTACAGAATAAACTACCAGCAGTGTGTGAGCCTAGATAAGTTGTTGCCGTACTCCTGTGTTTTCGAGAAAAAGGTGCACTGAGTACTTTTTCCCCTGATAAAAAAGACTCTACATCACTTATTTTTCTGTTTTATATGAGCTTGAATGAAAGTCCTATGTCTTTTTTTTCCCCAGGAGCTTCCTGTGGCTCTGACAGCAATCCCTGGGGTGAAATGCACTCCTGAACTGCTCTGTCAGCCAATAATTAAAGGGAAGGTAAGAGAGATCCAAATTCTACATGCATTATTGTATTATATGAAATATTCTTTCCATGATAAACAGCAGGACATTTTTTTGAGAGTTTGAGAGTATTTCAAACAGATGTGGCTGTTTATGCATTTAATTTAATTAAGCTGTTAAGATTATGATCACTATTTAAAGCCAACTTTGAAATAAAAATTGATCCGATTTACTTTCTTAATGCATGTTAATGAGCATATTGTACACAATTCATGTTCTGTATACCACATTACAGACATTAAATGGGATGACAAATTAGCAAAAAGCAGTGCACTTTCTAAACACTAGGTGGCAGAAGAAACAGTGGCAGATCAGTAAGAGTGCATAGACTGAAGCAGGCAAAAGCCAATCCATCTCGACTTCATTAAATCTGCTTGGTAGAGGTGTCAGCAGGAAACATATCAACAGGAAATGTTTGAGTTATGAAATAGATTTCAACTGTCAACTGAAACCAAAAAATTGATAGATCAGAATGAAATTGTGAAACCCCTCCATCACTAAGACGCACTTTCGTTTGTCGAAAGTGTACAGTGACTTACACTGAACAAAATTATAAACGCAACACTTTTGTTTTTGCCCCCATTTTTCATGAGCTGAACTCAAAGATCTAAGACTTTTTCTATGTACACAAAAGGCCTATTTCTCTCAAATATTGTTCACAAATCTGTCTAAATCTGTGTTAGTGAGCACTTCTCCTTTGCCGAGATAATCCGTGCTTTTATGAAACGTCTGTTTTGCAAATCTTCTTTTGCAATAATGTTGTAATTTGTATTTTATCATTGTGGGAATAATTTTGCTTCTTGTGGGTTAAAGCCTAAAAGCCTGCAGGGTTATTGGGAGGAGCTCCAACATGTCTTGGACAGGATGAGGTACTTTGAGGTAGTACCGAGCCCACGCTTCAGGTCCAGTCTGATTAAAGAGGACTGGGACAGATTTCAGGCTGCTATGGTGAGCGCTAGGACCACACATTACGCATCAGGACTGAAGTGACCCAGAATCTATATTAAAAGTTAATCAAATTTGTTAAAATGTTTAATTTTGGTCAAAAAGTTGTGGGATTTGTAGACAAGCATAAGTGTTAATTTCACACACACATTCACAAAAGTCCCTAGAGGAGCACACATTTCTCAGTAAAGACATTCTTTATGGATAATTTATTTCTTAATCAAACCCAGATGAGATGTTTAACAAAAGTTATTTGCATTCTTTTTTATTGTGAAATTAAATCCTCAGTGAAGCTCAAAAATTGAAATATTACCTACAGTTGAAACACTGTCATTCATAGAAAATGTGAACACCAGCTGAAGACTGCAGGCTTGCGGCAAAAACATCTTTATGGCCATATTGGGAAAGTGTTTTATTATTAATGTTTTATTATTGAATCACAGCACATTTGTATGATTTTTTGAGAAATATAGAAGTTTGAGAAATATAACATTCAAACATATTGCAGAACTCAATAATTACACATTAGTTTGACTTTTTTTCCCTTAAAAAGGAACTGGATACACATGTAACAACAACAAAAAAGTGATTTATTTTATAATAAAAAATTATATTTTATTTTATTGACAGCCCTAGTTATAAGGGCTATACATATATATTTATACATTTTATAAATGTATAATACTATATGCAGTATATGTTATATATTTTTATACAACAGTTCGTTCTGGTTCTCAAATCTGATTGGTTGAGTATTAAAATATGAAAGGCACAATATATTGACTGGTGAGCACCTACAGTAGGACTATGCTACAACTATCTGTTTAAAAATATCAATTTTTGCTGTTATTGCTGCAGAACTCCGAGAAGAAGAAATCTCCCCGCTATCAAAGCCAAATTGAGGAGAACACAAAAAAGTGGGTGGAGTTTGGCATGTGCCAAATATTATGTGCGTGAGTGTGCTTGGAGACTGAGTGTGCAAGAAAGTGTGTTACAAAACAAAACAAGAGTACTCTTATATGAATAAGTTGAACCTCTTTAAAACAAGACAATATTTACTTTTGCTGTTTTGGTGTTGGTGAAATGCAGCTTGATGTAATTCAAATGTCTCTTTTCCTGTTTTTCTTAAATGCAGAGTTCTGTCCATGGTGGACACTTGGCGTTTGGGTAAGAGAAACTAAGTTTAAATGGCCAGTCGTGTCAACGAAAGGACACTTGTGAGATTATTTATCCCTGATCAAATCCTGGAAATATTTCAAACTTTCATGGAAAGTCCCTGTGACTGGAGTTTCAGTTTCAGGGTCACATTCTCTGGTTTGAATGTAATCAGTCTCTAGGTTTATGTGAGGTTAATATATATATATATATATATATATGTATATATATATATACATATTATATTTTGGTATAGTATTATTTACATATAGAATTAACACAGTACAGTGTACAGTCAACCAAATTTTTTTTTTAAATGACCCGCAGACTGTACATTACCTTTTTAAAAGCATCCTTATGTGTGAAGTGCATATATATCTCTGTTTTTTTCAGATGGTAGACAAACTCAGAGAGCACTTAAACAGACATTTATCACGACTTGGGAAGAAAAAGATCGATTTGCTGGTGGTGAATTATGCTGCGAAGCTGGTATGTGTTTGTGCTTTTGCATCATTATGAAATCTCTTGCAGCGCACGTGTTTGCAATTGGCAGCTGTGGGACAAATCTCCTCTGTCGACACAAAACAAAGCTGCACCTTAAGCAAAGCACCCTTTTCTGATTATTTTAAGTCTGCCACTAGATAAAACTGATAAAACTATTTAGTGATTGGGTTATAAATTGTGGACCAAAATGAGTCTTTAAATATGCACAGGGCGACGACGTTCTATCTTATAGTGTGCGCTTGGCCCCTGAGTGATAAACTCTTGTCCTTATGCCAAAACACAGTTATCTCCCTCCTGCTTGGAAGATTGGAACAAACCTCATAATGTTCTACTCTCCTATTGCGTAAAGGAAAAAAGTTCAAGATATGCACTAAATATCTGTTTCCACCAAATTGTCACTGGATCGAGACCAAAGGGGAAGCAGACTTTTACTGGTTCTTCCTGTTTTCAGACCAGGATGAGCATGAGGATGTGAGAACACATTCATTATCTGCCAAGCGTAAGCGAGTGTTGGAGTTAATGAGCTTGCTCAAGTGAAACTAAAGTGAGCAGGGGTGGTGCTCGTGTATTTGTGCACTCATTGAAAACAGGAACGGAGAGTGAGTCAGACTGCCCAGTACACTCTCTGACAGTTGTCACTTGAGGACAGTGAGAGTTTATTTCCACTGAACATCTTGACAGATTCATAGTAGTTTCATAGAGGGATGGGTGTTGTCTTGAATCTGCTATATGTATTTTTGTAACATATAACTGTGTTGTGTTCAGCTGGAACTGGTGTGGCACGTGTTGGAATTGATGTGGCAGAAGCTGAAGTTGGGCCCCTGGGTGCTCTGCATGTATGTGCACCTGGCCATATTTTACTTCCTCTTTGGGGGGAACGAGAGTGCTTTATTTCTTGAATCTAAAGCCTTCAATTTTCTGTTTTAGTAAGCAGCAGGGTAGTTCAGAAGAGTGGGCGATGTTTCATGTGATGTTTCGCATTCTGGAAGCAACTAAAGGACTCTGTCTCCCCCTCCCTCCAGGTAAGAAGACGCCTGACTGAGACAATCTGAGAACACTTAGAAAACAGTTCCAAATCCTAGTGAGCTCCCTGTTTGTCTACTACATGCCTATTAAGACAGAATCCTAACTGAACCTCAAAAGTGACTATTTGGAGTGCTCCACATGGGCAGCAACTCGCACAAATATTTCTCCTTACATGAAAAGACTCAATTCACAATTGATTCCAATAGAGTTGGACGTTAACATCTTACTATACTTTAGTAAAACAGTTCTTGTTGGGAGCATATTTCTACTATTTAAGTAGGCAGTTCACTAGATCTTACAGAGTTAATGTTCTTGATATAATAAGAAAAAAGGGAGCTGCTGTATTTTCTTTCCATGATTAGATGTTTTTAGAGTTTGTTTAATGTTGCTAAAGGGAAAAACTGAATATTTAGTTCTCCCATGGCTGACCAAATACATTTGAATCCTCTAAAGATTAATCAAATGAGCATCTCTCCAAACTCCAAATGAATCCCATGTAGTCTAGCGATTGGGTGTGTCTGATTTTCTATGACCCAGTGAGGGAAAAAAAGTGGTTTCTGAAATCTGAAGTGTGCCAGATCTATCTGGGTGGATCCACTCTTTGACACAAATGCTTTGGCCTGGGCTCAGACCTGCCTGGAAGACGATTAGTAGTGGAGTCATTGACCCAATGCTTCAGTTCTGTCCACTCTATCCATCACAAAACTGGTTTAATCGCTTAAGTGGTTTATTATGTGTGCACTTGTAGGTTATTCCACACTGTTAAGTGTGCTTGGATCCCGATGTCTCCCACAGCACACTTTTCTCCAGTATGTGGACCATGGCCTTCTTCAGCTCACAGAACCATTTGTTTCACGACTTATGACAGGTACTAATTTTAACACATTTTAATTCACCCTGTTCTGAAAACTGTCCATTTACATACATAAAGTACTTAGACTTTACCGGTCAACTTTGAACTCCTGTGCTGTCCTACAGCATATTCTTGGTCACTGCATTAAGGTCTCCAATAGACAAAAAACGTATCCCTGACCTGTATAAAATGAATTAGATTTGAATCAAACAGTGACTTTGGATAAATATGAGACCACATTATTAAAGAAACATAGCCATTTAGGAGTTAGTGTTTTATTTTAAGAACAATGTTATGTTCTCTCACTCTTTCTATGTATCTCATGACAGATTTAGATAACAGTGATGCCAATGAGCAGTTGAAGTTCAGTATTCTGAAAAGACTTCCTGAGGTAAGTTTCCTACTTAACTCTTCTCTTGAAATCTGTGTCTTGTGAGGTCTGACCCCTGCCCCACTTCTTGCTTGAGCTTGGAGCTGCTTTCGTAGATGTCAGAATTAATCCTGTGTAAAAGAAAAGGAATGTGAGCATGTTTGTGGTCGTGTTGGGTCACGGCCTGTGCTAGGGCTTCAGTCTTTGTTTTCTAGTCTCAAGGCAGCCAAGTGAGGAAGTGCGGCAGGTGTAATAGAAAAGTGCAAGCCAATTACTCCCTTGCTGATTAGTTTGGCTGTTTTCCATGGTAGTGCACTCATCCATTATTGATTTCCCACCTCTTCCTCTTGTTTTGGAAACATTTTGGTTCCTAGTGTTATTGTAAATGATTAATCTGTGCAAGTTATTCCAAAAAATCTAAACTTGTCTTCAGAATCTATCATTAAAGTAGATGGTATTCTTTCTCTGGAATGAGAAAATATTAACCAATAGCCAAATAGTTGTAGTTATAGTAATGCAGCTTTCCTAAAATTGACAATATTTAACACAGTATTTTAATGGTGGATAACATTAATATTAATCCAATCAACTCCCTGTGTCCCACCCAACATTTTTGCTTAATGAATATTGTATTTGAATCATAAATGTCACATTGCGAACCGATAAATGTCACATTACGGGTTGTGAATTCCATTTCATGTTGACATTATGTTTTTGTAATTAGCATATGGAGCAGAAAGTTAGCCAGCAGTGGGATCACCCCATAACTTCTGCATGCATCTCCAGAGAATACATCAGGACTCTGCTGGAAAAAAACTTAGAAAACACTGTGAGTATGGCAGGGGGCAGACCCGGTTCCAGAACCAAATTATGAAAGGATTATAGCTTATTATATCGCCTACATACTAGAAGGCTTACCAGGAGATGATTCACAAGAGTGCAGAACTCAGTACTGAACAAAATCCCTGACGTTTTGAGCAGAGAGTGGATTCTGACTAACTTAAACACCTCTGATTAGTCATTGCATTTAAGAAATCAACTGATTTGCCTATGATTGGCTACTTTGTTCAACACTACAAAACACATTGTAAATAGAAACCTTTGATGCTCTTCAGAACATAAACACAAATACATTGGAGCATTTGCCAGTTTCACCAATTCAACTGAGGGTGCTTTTGCTTTCATTTGAAATATTTTTTCTTTTCTTTTCTTTTTTTTTTTTTCGAAAAACACTGCGGCGTGAAACTGGTTTGAATATCTGCCAAACAACTGCAACTAATACTTGGATGAAAAAGCTTGTTAGACTAGATGCTGATTGAAATATTACAACCGCTGTTTTGATGTACAGTTCTATATCGAACAAAGAATCAAGTGTTTTGTTCCTTAGGAAACTGAATCATGGTCTTGGCTCTTAGTTCAGAACAAATGCTCCCATGTTTACCAGCTAAACAAGTGATAGTTTTTGTAATTAGCATATGGAGCAGAAAGTTAGCCAGCAGTGGGATCACCCCATAACTTCTGCATGCATCTCCAGAGAATACGTCAGGACTCTGCTGGAAAAAAACTTAGAAAACACTGTGAGTATGGCAGGGGGCAGACCCGGTTCCAGAACTAAATTATGAAAGGATTATAGCTTATTATATCGCCTACATACTAGAAGGCTTACCAGGAGATGATTCACAAGAGTGCAGAACTCAGCACTGAACAAAATCCCTGACGTTTTGAGCAGAGAGTGGATTCTGACTAACTTAAACACCTCTGATTAGTCATTGCATTTAAGAAATCAACTGATTTGCCTATGATTGGCTACTTTGTTCAACACTACAAAACACATTGTAAATAGAAACCTTTGATGCTCTTCAGAACATAAACACAAATACATTGGAGCATTTGCCAGTTTCACCAATTCAACTGAGGGTGCTTTTGCTTTCATTTGAAATATTTTTTCTTTTCTTTTCTTTTTTTTTTTTTTCGAAAAACACTGCGGCGTGAAACTGGTTTGAATATCTGCCAAACAACTGCAACTAATACTTGGATGAAAAAGCTTGTTAGACTAGATGCTGATTGAAATATTACAACCGCTGTTTTGATGTACAGTTCTATATCGAACAAAGAATCAAGTGTTTTGTTTCTTAGGAAACTGAATCATGGTCTTGGCTCTTAGTTCAGAACAAATGCGAAAAACACTGCGGCGTGAAACTGGTTTGAATATCTGCCAAACAACTGCAACTAATACTTGGATGAAAAAGCTTGTTAGACTAGATGCTGATTGAAATATTACAACCGCTGTTTTGATGTACAGTTCTATATCGAACAAAGAATCAAGTGTTTTGTTCCTTAGGAAACTGAATCATGGTCTTGGCTCTTAGTTCAGAACAAATGCTCCCATGTTTACCAGCTAAACAAGTGATATTTTTTAGGACTCTGCACTCTTGGACTATGGCAAGTCATGTTTCTATCCCGATTTCCTGCCCCTAAACTACCTCGCCAAGATTCTCTCAAACAGGGAGGAACAAGGTACACGGTTTCAGAGATGAAGTCATTCATAAAATATGTTGTAGGATAGTAAATATTTTAATTTACTGTAAGGTAATAATTGTGTGGGTGTTGTATTTCAGCTCAGAACCCTTTTGAAGAGCAGGAGAATGTGGATGTCTGGTTTGTGGAGGAGATGGCCTTAAAGCAGACACAGATCAAGCTAGGCTTTGAAGTCAAGTAAAAAAAAAGCCTGGTACAAATGTTAAAGTGGTAAAAAGGGAAACATGGAAAACATTCCGAGAAAATAGGGGGAAAAAGTTCTCCTGGCCAAAGAACAAAGCTTGATATATTTAGGTGACTAGTAATGTACAGAAGTTTTTAAAATGTTAAAACTGTTAGAAATGTTAGTGATATCTTAGATATCTGAAAACTGAAGCCCAAAATCATACTTGACCAAAGATTATTTGCCAACTGTCAGTCTGCTCTTTAAATATCACATTTTAGTACACAGAAGAACACATACTGACTCTACTGATGCCAATACGTATGGGGAATATTATGCACTTTTCTATACACACAGATGCGATGGAAGAGCACCAACAAAAAAGACACATAAAGGGATTTTTTCCCCCAGATGTTATTTGGGGTCAAATTGGGTACATTTGTAACTATTTCAGAAACAAGAAATAAAAAAAAATCATATATTCTTTGTACTCTTCATGCTTAGTTTTTATATTCTACAAAATAAGATGCTTCTTGTCGATAGCAATTTCCTGAAAGGTTATTTTATATTGCTGCCTTGTATGTTTGCTATTATACTGTTTAGCCTGTAAGGCATGCTATTCACTTTGCAGCTGTGTTTAGATGGTTATTGGTTACATTTCTGTAAAGCACTTTGAGCTACTACGTGTATGAAAACCACACTATTAATGAAGTGGATTATTAAGCTATAGCTGTGCCAAGATGAGGGGTTGGTGATATGCCAAAGTATAAAACCATCCAAATGATTTGGCTAAAGATTAGCCATGCAATTATTAAGCAAATCATTTGACTTGCCTCCAGATATTTTTGCAAATGTAATTATAAAGTGCTGAAATGGTTTCTCTTTAACATTCTAAATATTACACATTTAAAAAATATATAGGACATGAGCATTAGTATTTAAAAAAATTTTATTTAATTTTTGATTGTTCATTTTGATTATTTTAAATTTAAATTGTGTCTAGTCCACATTCCCATTTATTTTCAAATGGGGCCTGAGCAAATGTATGTATATGCTGTAGAAAGCACAATAATGAATGTGATTTTTCACATTAATCTTTTATAATCTTTGTGATAGAGTAGAAAACAATTCCATAAAATGTCCCATTTGGTTCTGTACATAATTTCCCTGCATGGCTCCAGAGGGCATAGCATAATCTCTAGCCCCTCTCCCACCCCTCAGCTCTGGCAAATCTCTAAAGAATCTCTCTGAATTCCCAGCATGCCACCAAAAGGAGCTTCACTGGGCTGCTAAGCATTGAAATTAGACCCTTATGATAAACAAGTCTTATGTTAGCATCACTAGTTCTGAGGAGATGGACCAGATTCCTCAGGAATGGGAGCACATCTGGACTTTTATTTTTGTGTCTGTAAGCATCATGAGTTTGCAGACTCACTCTAGATCTCAATAGGTTTGTTTTTTGGTTTGCGGATGTGGCGAATGTTGGCACCAGGTTCGGTGGGTTTAAAGGGGGCCAGGGCTCCGTAGTGTTTGGGCACTGGCAAAGGATCGTCAGTGGGGATGTAAGCATTGGGTCGCAGGTCAGCAGTGGTGTAAACACCGTTTGGAAGCTGGTTCCACTCGTCTTCCTCAGCCAGCTAACAAGCATAAACATAGAAATACATCAGTATCACACAAACATGATGTTAATAGGTGGTTTAAATATTTACCTAAATATTTCAATTAAAGTACGATTCCAAACGGAGCATTAGCACAGACCTGATCCAACAAGACAGTCCTTGTAATGGTAGAATTAATTTAAATACATTGATCACAACCGAGAAGTTCATAAAATGTCTATCTCTATAAGGACAAATCTCATGAAAATGTGTCCTTTGTGACCCATAATTTCATATTTAATGATGTTTACTGTAAGATTTCAGTGCATTTGGAAGCTTACCCTGGCTTTTTCCTCTGCGTCTGCCTGGCGTCTGTGCTGATCTCGAAGGCAACGCAGCCACTCGTTCTCTATGTTGTCTGAGGGGGGCAGGCCTTGTTCCACACTCCTCTGACACAAGTCCAGCTGTAGTTCCTTCTCTTTCATCTCCTGCTGTAGGGTCATACACTCCGCTTGTCTCATGGACAGCTCTGCTACCACTGCCATAATTTTACGAGTGCGCTCCCTGATCTGAGCCTGTAGCTCGTTCACCTAAAACACAAACATGTTCTAAATGAATTTGCTAAAACTCCTGGCTACATGACCTTATGTGTTTACTGTAACAGCACATTAGTTTGAGGTTTAGTTAAGCTGAAGGACAGCTTGCTATGGTTCATTAATGTGGGCAGCCAATGTTTTTTGGAGACCATGAGGTCTGCAGGGTGTCAAAGCATCAAGTATTTTGTATTCTGGTTTACCACTTGAGGTCCAGTATAAATTCTCCTTAAAGAGTCCTGAAGCAAAACCAACCATGTTGCTATGCAGTGTTACAGTAAATCTGTCTGTAAACTTACTTTCTTAGCCAGATGCAGCGTGTCTTCTTTACCATTCTCAGCTTTGATTTGGATGCGCTGGGAAAGGCGTGTAACCTGCTCATACACAAGCTCCATTTCCAAGAGCTGAGCCTCCTTATCTGTCAAATGCACCTCTAACTAAACACACACACACACACAAGTGAGTGACATTAACTTTTCATTTAGATTTTTTTATCTATATGAGTGCATATTTTTCCAACTATTCTAACAATAAAATATGTTAAACAAATATATATGCTGTACAAATATATGTATAACAAACTAGGTCTAGAATATAAATAATTAATAATAATAATGTTTATATAATATTTATTGAAAAAAATATATAATTATAATTTTATGCAATAAAATGTGTAAACAATGAAAATTATTTATCATTATTGTTATTATTAAGAAATCAAGTGTTACAAATAAATATAAATTCTGCAAATACACTTGTTCTGGGTGATTATGCTTAGTGAAACTGACCAACAGGACAGTCCCTGCCAAAAAAGGCATCAACCCCCAAATATTTCCCTTCATGTGGACTGCAACTATACTTGTTCAATCTTCTTGATGAGCTCCTCAGGAGACGGATCTTCTCCACTCAGTTTTCTGGCTCTGGTATGGTTCACACAAGCCTTTTCAAGCTCAGTCAGTCTGTCTTTCGTCTCAGACAGCTATGGCACAGAAAAAAACAGCCGCACCATCAGGACACAATTAAAACAGTGGACTCATTTAAAGCCTCTTTGCTCTTATTACACAGATGCACAGACTGTGTGTATTGTGTGAGTGTGTTTGTATCCCTCTGTGAGTCATTTGGTTAAAAGCCATCAGGCTGGCGGCTAGGACAGGTCTTTTGTGCTTTTCAGTCACTAAAGACAACATTGCAGGGCTTCTGGCTATGTCACAACAGAGAAATCATCTGGTGTCAACATGACGTGGGGTACTTGTTTTGTTGTGCTCAATTGAAGGCCAAATGATTGGAAATGTCTTCACAAAACATAATAAAGCCAACCGAACTGGATTAATAATTTGCCTATACTGTAAATTATAATCTAAAAATGTCTCTTAGGCCCCGCCAGATTAAAACCCAGTGTTAAGCATCTCAACAAAGAGGAAAAGCTGAAATACAAGTTAGATGTTCAAGTGGACTTGATCTGGGAAAGACCTGAAAGATATCAACGTTATCCAAGACTACAGCCGAGGAGAGTGACACGTGCAACACCAGCTGGAGCCCACAATAAACAGGCCAAGGGCTGGCGATAAAGGTCATCTTTTAGTTCTCTGCAAGCTGAAGAATAAAAGCCTTCTTAAGCATTCTAATGCATCACAATAATAGAAGGTGGGCTGGTGAAGACAATGCTTGGGGTCTGAGTCTTATTGTTTCTGTTTGGCGGTTGTCCTGACATTCCATTAAGAGTAGGCTGATTCTCTTGGTTTGTTCAGAGTCTTGTGTTAGTACAGGACGCCTTGTGATACACAGTAAGAATTAAGAGGTCATCACATCACAAAAATATTTCTTACCTTTCATTTCTTCTTACAACAACTTTATGTTTGTACACCAAGTATAAGTGTATGCTGTTCAAGGCTTGGGTCGGTAAGATTTTTTTAATGTTCTTGAAAGAAGTCTTATGTCATTTATTCCTGTGATGACAAAGCTGAATTTTCAGCAGTCATTGCCCCACTCTTCAGTATCATATGATGCTTCAGAAATCAGTCTAATATGTTGATTTGGTGCAAGAAACATTTCCTTTTCTTCTTATTAAAGCTGATTATACTTAACATTTTTGTGGAAATGATACATGTATTAATAGAAAGTTCTGAACTGCATTTATTTAAAAATATATATTTGGTAACATTATTCAAGTCTTTACTGTTACTATTGATTAATTTAATGACCAATGTTAGCGACCGCAAATTTTGGAACGGCAGTGTAACAGACATTTTCAGTGTAGCAATAATGTGTTGATCATCAGGAAGTGTTTCTCAACATCAGTATTATGTGGAATTTGAGACAAATGTAAATGTAGTGAAAGAAAATTGGGATTGAACTATAGTTTGGCATTGCACACAGTGTCTGGGGACATAATATGTTTTACCCTTACTTTAAGCCCTACAGCAAGGATGAGAACTAGTAACTCTGAGAACTCTGCTCTGATGCAGTAGATGTTTATATGAAGAGACTGTGTTGATTAAACAGAGGGGTATAAAACTATCAAGGAGATTCTTGCTAAGATGGTTTATATCAGTTTTATCTCTCAGAAGGAACTATAAATGGTAAAAACAGCACATCTGTGAGTATGTGTGCCACTTTAGAGGGCAATTAATGTTTGGAATAGTATATACAATCTAACCTTTACTTACATTCCACTGCATTATAGGGTGTTGGAACTTGTTTTTTTTATTTATGTATCTGTGATATATCATCTCTTTGGATGCTTTACCCAAAGCTGGAAGATGCCCTGAGAAGTCACTCACTTTTTTCATTGTTGTTTTAGACAAAGGTTGCACAGTGGTTTCAGAACTGAGATGCAGGTACCTGTATCTGTAATAGGATGCTTTCTTCCTCCAGTGCCCGTTTGCTGGACAACTGATTCCTGAGAAAGTTATTCTGTCTTTCTTGCTCCTTCTGTTCAATTTTCAGGTTGCTGATTTCATCCTCCATGTTCTGTATCTTCAGGTTGCTGTCTTCGATCATTTTCACCAGCACATTTAGCTTCTCATAGAAAATACACAATTCCTGCTCTTTTTCTACAAGCTGCACGGCCCTGACAACACAAACACAGATACAAAGTTATGGTTCAAATGCCACCCCAGACACGAGAATTCACCTGACAGATCTTGTAACGTTCTCTCACCGCTGGTTGCGCTCTTGCATAGCAGCTTCATAGCTCTTGCACATATGCAACTTTTCTTGCTCCAGCATGTTGATTGTGTCTGTGA